AAAATAGCTCTCCGCTTTTCACCGAAGCGGAGAACTCACAGGCGGCCACACACACCCGCACACACCATCCCCCAACCCCCCACACCCCACCCTACTCCTTTTTCCCCTACTAACAATAGTGGCCCCCACACAAGGCGTTGGGTTTTAAAAAAATGACAGACTACTGTTGCCCCTTTCCTCTCCCTGTCCAGGTCTGTGGGCGCTTTTCCTCCGCGCTCTGTCCTCTGCCTCAAAGCACCAGCCCCACGCCCCAAACCACAGGCGGCGCTCGCACAGTGAGACCCCGCGAGAAGTGGGCCCAACCCCGGGAGCAGAAGAAGACGTGGCGGAAGAAGATACACGCTCAGGAAACCGCAGAAGAAGAATCGGGGGACAGCTAATATGTGAGACACCGCCAACTGCTTGGAGGCCAGAGACCAAATTGTCCATCCCGTGACTGTTCCCCACGGGGGGGTAGCGTGAAACACAAAAACGCCACCGCTGAAACCTCGTTGACAGTTGCCCCGCACCGCAAACAGAAGGGAAGAAGCCAAAAGTACGGCACGTTTTTGATTATTACCAACCCTCCTGGACCACAGGCTACACGTTATTTGAACGCTTTGGGCTACTGGGCTCCTGCGGACTTTGAGAAACTTCCACAGCCCGGCGTGAAAGGACTGTGTGTCGACTGGGTCGAAGGACTGTTACGGCGGAGGCGTTAAAGGCTGAGATACGCTTCAAGCTCACACGGGGCCAGAGGACGGCAGAGGCGGGCGTGGGGAAACACGAGCGACTGACAAACCCGGGTTCAACATTCGTCACCAACGCGACCGCTCATGAAGTTTGGATCAACAACAAATTGCATTTGGCACTTTTTAGAGATAATTCATGCCCGTAATATACGCTAACAATCTGTGGTGTACAAGTTTAAATTCTGGATGACTCCGGGGCAACAAATTCTGTGCTAAAGTGACAGCCTTCTGTCTCCCCTAAAAATGAGTGGCGCTTCCTTTCTCATTAGCAGCGGGGGGGAGAGGACGGACTAAAGCGCAATTTACGTCACGCTAAGTGTTTTGATTTCTCAGGGCAACTGGCTTAAACATTCTTTTCTATATTCCATAGTGCACGGTTAACTCTACAGGCCGAGACCTTATGTGCAGGACTCAATTAAAAATTAGATAAATATACGGAGGGCACCGGTCCCAAAAGTTAACTACCACTGGAAATTGAACCAAACCATGAGATTGCTAAGTTATTAGCCACAAAAGTGGCTAGAGTGACGCCCGCACAAAATTTGGGGTTCACCACGTCGAACGACCTACGTGCCTCTCTCGGTCGTTCCCAGACATTAACTTGGAGTTTTGAAATTCTGGCTTTCAGTGAGTAAAGATAGGCTCAACGGAGTTGTTTATTGGGATAGTCACCCGCTATGGTATTTGGCGACTTATGAGCAACAAAACATTTTTAATCGTGAAACAAAGGTGAAGTATAAAGTTTGAGACTAATTTACATTTTTAATGAATCGACTGGGCTTTATTGAAAAGAAAAAATAAGGAAAATAAACATGTTTTTAGGTGACAAGAGCTCTTGAGTTATAGGGGACACTAATCTGTGATATGCCCGAAATACAGACCACGTGGTAAACACTAAAGTTGGAAAAGGATCCTTTTAGGAAAACTCTTTTAAGCTCTGCAGGCTCTGAAAGTTGCAACAATAGAAATAGCTCATGGAGACAATTGGAATTGGACATGGAAAAATATATAACAAAGTTAAATAGTACATGCTTCTGTGTTGATATTTGTTTGTGTGTGTTATATGTTTTGTGTATGAATATGTTTGTGTGTCATGTCAAAGTACACCACGTTGACCTTAACAATCTCTGGACCAATACTACGTGGGGAATCGGCCTGTTGATGTGACTGTGATATGAGTGTGATGTGTGAAATAAGGAGTGACATGAGGAATGCTGAACGTGATCATGGAATAACAAATGTCGTCTGTAATGTTTTAATGTGATCTGGAATATTCATTTTTTGTCACAGCATACGGTGTAAAGTACTAGAGATTCAAAGATAACAAGCTTTATTGATCGGGTGTAAAAGTGAGCGTATCTGGGATGGGAGTACTCGGAAGAAAAGTACTCTGCGGAAAATTACTCTGAGATGAAATACCTGCTGAAGAATTGGGAGTCCCTGCCTCTGCTTTTTGTCTGACATGAGTCGGTCAACCGCCGTGAGCTGTCGGTGGTTGAAGGACACTTTGGTTGGTAAATACATTAGGGAGTATAAAATTAGAAACATACATTTTGTTGTTCTGTATCTGGCTACAGCCTCCGCCCTGATTGCTACCCCATCTGTCATGCAGTTATGTTTTGCCCAATTGGGAAAAAAGATTGACAAGCAAAAGTGGGCATTTTTTTGTGTTTTTTTTTTTTTTTTTGTGTTTGATATTTTCTTTTTCAGATGAGAGATAAATACCCTGCCTCAGGGATGACAGTAGTTGGATCAGGAGGAAAATGGAGCTTCCACTTGGCAAAATGCCCACAATATGAATTGAGGACGATCGGGAGAAACGCAACTGGTGTGAACGAAACTGTAAATCTACACACACACACTAGGGTTCCCCATGACCCAAACCTGGCCATTCACTCAGACTGTGGTTAATGAGCGATGTGGGTGCATGGTGTACGTTTTTTTTTATTTTTTTTTGGAACTTTTGCAGCTCATACGGAGGGCCACTGAGACCCACTGCTTACTTCTCAGCAAAACTCGATTCCCGTGGCGAGCAGGGTTGCTCGTGCCTGCGGGCTGTGCTGCCGCTGAGAAAGCGGCCTAGCATCACGTGACCTTGTGGGATACACTGAACTAACTTTGCTTGTGCCCCATGCTGTTCCCTGATCCTGCTAGAGCAGAAAAACCTCTCACCTTTCTGCGGCTCGTTGGCTGAAATACAACACGGTGCTCTTTGAACTCCCAATGTCAACGGTGAAAAGGATGCACACAAGCTGAACCCCTCCTCACTGTGCCCACGCCAGAGGAAGGGAGGCTCACTGCTGTATCGCCACCATAGAACAGATCCGCATCCCAGGCAGACCTGAAAGGAGGTGCCTTGACTATCTCTGACTTGATTTTTTTTATACAGACGGTAGCGCGTCACGTGACAACACTGGGAAGAAACCGGAGTCGCTATGCTGTGTGTTTTGATTTTGATACTATAGACTTGGTAGTTTGCCCCACTACCATTCAGCACAAACCGCTGCATGGTCGCGCCACCGGGGCTTTGAGCTGGCAGCGGGCAAAACTGTTAACATATTTCTTGTGCTACGCGTATGGTTTTCTCTGTGGTGCCACGACTGGGGGCACTGTGGAAAACACGCAATTTCATGAAATTGATGGTTAAACAATTCTTAATTCCACACAGGTTGAACGTCTGTGAAAGCTGTAATGTTGCCTTAGAGATCGATGTACGCAAATGCCAGGCCCACACTAATGCCACTGTCCCATCTCTGCAGGGGATCGGCGCGCGGACAAGGCAGCGGCTACGCACCTTAAACACACACCACCACACTACCTCACTCAAGACGTTGATATTTTCTCCTCTCTGTCAGCGATGCAGACATGGTACTCCAGCAGGAGACGCTGCTGTGGGGAGGGGGAATGGGCTCAACGACGCATGGGGTGTGTTGGCTGGGACCAGACCGCAACCGTGCCTACCACGGCATTTCTTCCCCTGCCTCCGAATCCGAAACTCACACCATGCCAAGTGTAAGTAATACTGATGACCCCGAACAGAGATCTGCAAGCACCTCTTGTGTGATGACGAATCCCTATTGTAAGAAATTAATGCGAGGCGTACCCCCCTTTGCCCAACTCCCCAGCCCCCGGACCCCAAGGCCACACCCCAAACCCCGAGCACTCTGCCCAACCGAGTGCTCAGGCCAAGGCTTCAACGCGATTAGAGTCTTGCCGCTCCAAGACCAAACATCGCCATGACCACTAACGCTCCACACACGCTCAGAGGGAGCGGTGCCACTGACTGCAAGACGCCACTGCTCGTGAGTATTCCCGCAAAAAAGACTACCGAATGTAGTCCGGCTAAGACCGGCATGGGCCCTTGGACTATTATGCTGGCCACGCTGACAATACTTTCCGTGCTGACCGTGTTTATTATGTTAGTATTGTCTTCTTCTGAAACTCAAAACCCTGTGATTCACGCCATGACACGCATTAAACGCAGACCACAGTGGCCATACTTGAATCACAGAGAGTTGAACTTCACGACCTACGTGCCGTTGTTCTTCAGGACCGGTTGGTCCTGGACCACCTGACCGCGTCTGTGGGAGGCGTATGCACGATCATTGGGTCGTCCTGCTGTACATATATTCCGGCTAATGATGAGGACGGAGGTCTTATCCAACAGGGCATAGCCAATCTGACTAGACTCCGGGACGCCATGCAAGCGGACAATGTCACGGACACTCCTCATGGTCTGGACTGGCTCCTGTCCTCCTGGCGGAGTGTGCTCATTAATCTTGGTTTAGCCCTATTGACTGTTATGATTTTATTTTCATGTGTATTACCTATGGTGTTTCGGGCCGTTGGTAAAATGATATCCACTCACTTTGTGTCCATTCAATACAAAGACCCTGAGGCGGACCTGGCCGCTGTCCCACTGAACCCCGATCCTGATTATATCAGCGATTCGGACGACGACTTTGTCTAACGTTTTTCTTTTTTGTTTACCTTGTTTTTATTTTTTTCCACTTGTTCCGCCTACAATTTAGGGGGAGGGTATCACAGTGAAGAGCTTTGACCACACCCTCGTAATACAAGAGGCTTGGGTGACGGCAGCGTAGCCTGTCCATCAACAACTCTTGTTTTGCTCAGGGACCAAGGTCAATACTCACCCACCTGAATGTGATTTCTGTAAAACTGGGGTTTCTACATTATCACGGGAGAGGAGTGTTATGGCAAGTTGGTTAGCCTCAAGGACGCCAACTCACCCCCCGCTGTTCTATTCAATTAACCTGCAGGAAGGAACCGGTCTCCCCCCTGCACCGACAGACATGACGCAAATTACTATCTCACCTTTGCCCCTTTTGCATTTTGCATCTCTATCTGCATCTCTATGTCCCTTTTACATTCTGCATGTCTATTGTCCCTTCTGTTTGCATCTCCACGGCACAAAGATTGTCTCTCACCAGGCAAGGCGCCCCGCCATCTGGATGCCCGTCTCAAACTGTGACCCCTCCCACCTTTTGTGGGCGTGACTGTCTTTCATGTGTTGCCTATGTAAACGGGGACCTGGGACTGGCCCCGGCAGAACTGATGTACGCTATTTTGTGTATGTGAGTTCTCCGCACGTGTGTTATAATAAACTTACGCTCCTGATTAAGACAAATACCTTTCCAGCTTTTTCCTTACTGTGGATAGAAACTCCCACGACAGCCTTTACTGTAGCCAAAAAACTGCTTAAAAACCCTGGTCTTAAATAATACCAAACTACACAATTGATACCAAACTACACAACTAAAAGTTAAAAACAGGAATAACCCCATGGAAATAATTGATTAGTTTAAAATGTATGTGTGTGTCATTATGGCTTTTCTGGCACAAACATTTCCTACATCTGTGTGATCAATCTGTTCTAATAGGTATTGTATGTACAGTATGTACAGTATGTACAGTAGGTACAGTAGGTACCTGGAAGGATCCCAGTCCGAGCTCAAAGACCAGCCTCTCTCTCTTGCTGACGTCCTCAGGGGAGAAGGCAAACACAGTGTAGTGGATCCCAAACAGAGGGATGAGGAGCAGTGTGGAGCGAGCCAGACGCCTGTAACACACAGGACAACACACACACACACACACACACACACACTGTCAGTTTAACGTTCTGGCCCACGTGCGGCGGCCATCTTGTTTTAGCGGAAATGATTCCTGATGCAACAGTGCGACACATCCAATCCCTGTGTGAGCGTCTCATCTCTTACTCTTACTGAACAAGGAACTTTTGTTAGAGTTTTTGTAACTTTCAATATTAGGATTTGCAAATAACAAAACAACAGCTGAAAAAAGCTGGTTTAAGAAGAATAAAATCTTCCAAATACATTTGTAAAAGCAGTATGTTTGATGAATCTACATTTGCCTGAATGTTATTGTCAAAAACTAATATACTGATTGAGAGGATATTCCAATCTGTGGATGAGTACAGAGTACACAGTCTCTGAATGAGTCACACGGTTACACAACGGCACAGCTGCTTTGGTCAGCCACAGGGTTACGGCCTGTTCCACCCTCCATTACTCCAAACTACAAGACAAACTTGCATTTACTTTTTCAAACATTTAAAAAGTGAATGGACACAGAGCACGGGACAAACACACAACATTGACATGACAACACACACACATACACACAAAACTGTGTAACACTGATGCAGTTCAGTTAAACCCAGGGCTCTTTGTCAGAATCTTTATCTCAGTAACAATTACGGTCAGTTTGTAACAAATAGTTGGTGTTGTGTGTAAACAACCTCTGCATGTGAAGACGTCTTTCTCACAGGTTAAATTATGTGTGTTACGTTTCTCTCCTGAAAAGATGACAGAACTATTGTCTCTACTTCTTTGTGTAAATGCGTTGAAACATGTCGAGAGCTAACATGAGTGTCCAGCAGTGGTCAGCTCAGATACGTCCGCAGTGAAAGAGCCCGTGAGTGAATCGTTGCCACACAGACACATGCGTGTGCACACACACTTACAGTGTGACGGCGGATAACTCTGACATCCTGCACGAGTGCTGCACAGCCTGAGGCTCACTGAAGCATTTCTGAGCACAGCTGCTACACAGCACAAAGACACACAACACACAGGACACGTCTTTAACACGCAGCAGGGGGCGCTCTATGGGACACAGGGCAAATCCAGGACCACTTTCTAAACTAGTGGGTGCAATGGTCCTTTACATCTGACTCCCTACTTTTAAGTGTATTGTTGAAAAAAAAGCCAATGCATTTTTATCTTCAAGGAGGTGTAAATAAGAACACAATGAAGACATGACATAAAGACAAACTTTAAACCTCCATTCATGTGGCAATCGTAGAGTACACCGCCTCTGTCAGCTTCTACCTGCTGCATTTTACCCATAGGACAAAAGCAAAGGCCATAACTATCATCTGGTTTTCCTACTCACTGAATAAGGTAGATCAAAATGTAAATAAAGATACATAAAGATGAATACTAAATATATTATAATACACCCTTTTGCATTGTATTAGAGGGCTGAGATCAGGCTTTAGAGGATTAAGATTCCTAGTTAGACTTTGACACAACAGAATATATAAAACAATGGGTTATTGTTGGACAGACAGGACAAACACAAACTTTGGCTGTGGATGATGTGACTTACAGATAAATACTTGATTCATTTCCTCCAATATCAGGAGACTGCAGCTTCTGAACCAGGATGATGATAATCCCAATGAAGAGCACAAAATTAATCTGTACAATGTAACAAAAAAGATTTGATCATTCATTGTTATACATCTATGAAAACAAGAAAAAGCTGGTTAGTTTAAGGTGCAGTACCATAATAGAAGCCACGACAGGACCTTTAATCACCCACCAGAGGGCAGTGTGCTCATTGGTATCCCAACATCTACGTGAGAAGAGCCACTTGTGTTATTTCCATCAGTGAGAACAGATGTATCTATTTTATTCAATGAACTATATTAAACTGACCCATAATCATGGAAGTGGAGCCGCAGCACAGCCCACACAGTCACACAGATGGTGGGGGTCCCTATAACCAAACGCATATGTTTAAACATAAATATAATAAAATAATGTCATCATAATCCATTTTAAATGATAGTCATTTAGATTTGATCAAGAATTCACATAGACCTTCTGCTTTTCCATGATATAAAATGTGAGGATACAATTCAACATATACCAGAGATAACAGAAATTATATTTGTTATTGTGGTCGTGTTGTTATTAAGGCTCACCCCATCCGACGATGGTGTACCAGTAAAAGTAGCGCCTCTCGGGGAAGAAGGTCTCCACCAGCAGCGTGAACAGGTACAGACCCTCGATGAACAGCCAGAAATAATTGGACATGACGCAGTAATGGAAGAAAACCATCACGGCTTTGCAGGCAACCTGCAGGACAAGGACAGGTACAACAGGGTATTATGTGCAGTATTTGTGCAACATGTCGTTCTCTGGAGGAGGACAATGCAGCAGGGTCACTGCTGTGAAATGTCAGATGTTAAATATCATGACAGGTAACATGTGTCCTGACGCAGTGGTCACAGGTGGACAGGGTCACTCACCTATGAACACCATCCAGTAATCACTGTAAAACACCTGCATCAACCAATACCAGAGCTACTACGAGACAAGGCCCGCCCACATCACACCGATGAGCTGTCAGTTTAGTTAAAGGGTCACAATGTGCATTGATATGCTAATATCCTTGGGAGGCCTCAACTGGCCCTGCTAATCCATTAGCATAGGTAATTAGCTTTATTTAACATGGCTGCTTAACAACAGTGAGCAATGCGCTGTTATGAACAAAGGAGAGCTTGTTTTGCATTTATAATCAAGGAGTATTAGGCATCTAACAGTGTGTTTGTATTGTGTGAAAAATTACATGTGATTGAAGTGTATTCAGAGGTGCAGGAGAAACATGGAGGACTCTGGACAAGTCCCTGACCCCTTCATATCTCACAACAGGCAGAGCACATCCATTTTACAGTCATGCTTCTCAACCATTAGCTGCGCCACTACAATTACAGCCACTAATATTTTTTAGTAACATCCAAGCAATGACCACAGCTTTCACAATTCAGTCTGACCTCCATTTGTGAGGTTCCCATAATGAACAGGACTTACAGTGGAGGAGAAGCAGTGGTCACTGTCCTCCTGCGCGTACAGAACCCCGTCCTTAATGAACACGGAGATGGCCCTCAGGATGAACGACACAAACAGGTTCATGTGGATGAAGTTCCTGGTGCAGTGGAGCTTCCTACAAAACACAAGACAGGCATCATTTTTACTTATGTTTAAGCCCAGCTTAAATCTGACTTATATTCAACTCAGCTCACGTGTAATAGTTATTTCTCACCTGAAGCGGCAGAGGATGACCATCGCAGTGGTCAGAGAAACCAGTGAAGTGCTGTAGCCCACAGTGTACAGCGCTTTGACGGAGGCATAGTACATGTCCTAGAGAACCACACCAGCGTTAGCCATTATCACACACACTACACCAGGAACATACGGAATATATATCCATGGTCTTACTGGATTAGTGCTGTTGTCGTAAAAGAAGCACACGTCCAAATAATGAGGATAGGGTTCTGACCAGCCGTATTCAGTGCAGTTTCGACTCACTTTTCCCATTTCTAACAAAGACAGCAACAATAAACATCGATTCCCCAGAAACGTGATATGTTATTTCCACAAACCTTCTTCGGGGATCATGGAGTCGTGGATGAATTCGGGGCAGTTGACCACCACCACGTCGCCCACGTTGGCGCCCTGCCAGCACGTCAAGTTGTCCCACATCCACGGACACACTGAAGCAAACACCACAGGTCAATACTGAAACTTCAGAATGTCCACTGATTATTATACGGCTTTTTACCAACAGAACACACAAAATAAACTCCAGTCCACTCTTAGGAAGGCCGAAAGGTTTATTTCATGACAGAAAATAAAATAGTTCCCAAAGGCTTTCCCGTGGCTATGCGAGTAACAGTTTGGCTAGTAACAGTTATTTTGCAGTTTGCTGCGCGTCAGGGTCCGCTTCGCCCTGTCGGTACTTATTTTCCGATAATGACCTGCCTAATATACATTATCCCTTACTTACTACACGGCTCCTCACAGTTATTTCTGTTACTTGTTAAAAGCAGCTACTTATTTTGTATATTGTGTGTGCTCCCTGTGTGCTCTTACTACTGTCCTGTATGTGCGCTGCAACATTGAAAGTTCCCCACTGCAGGACGAATGAAGGATCTCTTATTCTTAGGTCAGTTCCTCCTGCTGAATAATGACCAAAGGCTATAGATCAGTTCACATTTGTCCTATAGATACTGGTGTGTGCACTTTGTAGTTCAGTGGTTCTGTTTAACCCTAAGAACTGATGGGGTCTAATTATAAAATGTGCAAATTGTAGCAGACCCCAACGACTGACTTAGATACAGCATGCCTACATTGGCTGTGCTGAATTTGGCTGGATGACACTGGTATTGTTTTCATATATTCTTATTGTTTGTATTGTATCTTAATAATAATAATAATAATAATAATAATAATAATATCCATCCATCCATCCATTTTCTTCCCCTTAATCCATTTCTGGGTCAGGGGGCTGGCAGTCAGAGCTGCACCCAGTCCACATAGCACCAGCCCCTCACTGATCCTCCTGCAGGTGGTGAGTCCACAGGAGCTGAGATCTTTCAGTGAGAGCTTCAGGCAAAGTGGGGTTAAGTGTCTTGCCCAAGGACACAACGACAGCAGTCATCAGTGGGAGTCGTGAAGTAGGTCTTACGGTGGGATCGAACCCACAACCTTCAGGCTCTAAGGCCCATGCTCTACCAACTGAGCTACTGTCGCCCCATATAATAATAATAATAATGTTTTATTTTCTCTGTGCAGCCATTGTGCAACTTGTTTTATGAAATGTGCTAAATAAATAAAGTGGATTGAATTGACTTCGAATCTGTGTTTATATTCTCGACGGCTACTTTGGGATTAGCGGTGAAGAGAGCCACATAACAAGACGCAGAGGGCCGCAACTAGCCCGCGGGCCAGACTTTGGACATCCCTGCTTTAGTAATTAACACAGTTTAAACCTCGACAGCCTTTTAAAGCCATGATAATGACCTGCAGTGTGAGAGAATGACCCCATTTATCTCCAACAGCGGCCCTATCACAGAGAGGGTAGAATAGACTGCATAATTGTTGCCATTGCCTGACTGCTAAAACGTATTGTCAAGGGTAAGATTAGAATTAATATTCAGTTTATTTGTGATTAACTGCCCAGCCCTGGGACATTTGAGTTTTAAATGGTACTGGCCTACTTACTGCTGCTTTGATGTGGCTGTTGTGTGCCACGCAGGCTTAAATCCTATATGCAGCTCCATAGCAACCAGCACACATTGTAAATCAGTACAATCCATTTCTGTGTCAATCCTCAGTGTTGGAGAGGTACTTCAGTCTTTTTTCCACAAAGATAACCCTGTACTGTTGTTTCTGAATGCATGTCTGGGCTCAATGTAGCTCTCAATTGTGGGTCTGCTGTGTGAAGACATCAGAACGTAATCAAATCAAGATCTAATGGTTTGAAATTAAATCAGCCTGGGTATTTTTTTTACCTACAGGTGGTCAGCTTATCTGTAGAAATGTGCTGTTTGGAGGCGGGATCAGTCACTGGGACTATTATAGATATGTGTGTGTTTTAAATTGACCAAATTAAAGCATTTACTGTATATTCATGAAGATGATGTTTCATTTGTTTTTGGGTTTTGGTATGTTTTCTGTATTTTTCTTTTACCAGGGACAGTGTACGATAACCATTTGCCAAAAAGGAAAATTGCATTGTCTGAGTTGTTAGCAGAAGATTTCCCACTCTAACAATAGAATCATTCCCTCTGACAGTCTAACACGTTGGATAAATACTTAATATGATGTTAAAAAGATTAAACAACGAGGAGGGAATTTCAATCATACAACCTCACTGCTCTGAGTTGTTTAATCTGCTTGTCATGGGGCAGATTTTAATTTGGTATCTGGTTTTATTTTGTCAGTTCTCTTGTGATTTCATTTTAGTTTTACTTCCTGTCCTGATCCCCTTTATTTGGTGAACGTAACTGTTGTAATTGTAAGTAATGCGGTAATAGTGTACTGCTTTACAATTCAGAGACAATACTTTTTGTAGTGCAACACATTTGAAATAACAGTAACAAGTAATACATGTATTGCATTTTTTTAGGTATCTTTTTAAGTGTTACTATGGTGATGTCTGAGGCACAGTGATATGGAACTTGTGATTTAACATTCAGTTTCAAAAGTATTAATCAAGGCTAGTTTGCATGGAAATCCTCTTTGACAATGGTATAATTATGTATATACTAGTATTTTAGAGCACCAACCACCGATAAAATGAAGATGGAACATGGATTTATAATAATAACTGGATAGGGTATCACTAGCTTATAGCTGTCTTACCAGGGGGCACAGGGGGCGCCTGTGTTACTGCTGACTACATTCACGTGGGCTACCCAGAAATCTTCCCCATAGAACTCAATGTAAACTAAAACAGCTCGACCTCAGCTGACAGAGAACCTACAGCTTTCATAAAGATCGGATTTTGTGATTTTAGTGTCCCTTGTCATCCTGAACTTTTTATCTCCTTAAATCCTTCCGTTTTCTTTAAATCCACACTGTACTGCTACAAACTCTGCTCGTTTCCTTCCCGTTCTGGCTCCGCTCTAGCTCCGCTCTGATCAGCAGCTCTGATTGGTCAAAGCGCGGCCGATCCCCTCTGTGCACGTGCATGAGAGCCACCAACGCGTATTTGGCGCAAAGCATCATGGGATCTTGTCCACAGCGCAGGACCAGACGCTGCCCAAATATAGACGAGTTCCGCAAATCGTTCCCATGAACACAAGCCATTCATTTGGAAAGGACGCCATCTTGGATCACTGAGGCTTGAGATGGAAGGAAAACCACTTGCATTAAATGTTCCTAAATGATACAAAATGTGTCTATAAATGTTGAGATTCAAAACATGTTAGGTCCATAACTTGCTTGGGAGATTATACAACACGTTTCAATCCATGTATGTTTTTATCAGACACAGGAACCACTGGCATCTCCCATTGTTCATGTTTTGCACCATGGCTCTCTGTTGCTTTGCTCCCATCTTCTGCTCTGCTTCTCTTGGTCGCCTTCCTCCTCTTTTCTCACTCTCTACCGCTTCACATTATTCCTGTCTGATTTTATCGCTGTGAAAGCAGCAGCCACCGGCCCGCCACACCTCTGCTCTCTCTCTCTCTCTCTCTCTCTCTCTCTCTTTCTCTCTCTTGATTGCACCTTCCAGCGCTGTAGACAATCCTTCATTATGCATGCATTCTGGCTATAGATATTCCTGGATATGTGCATTGCCCTTTCCTTCCAACCAGCTCTTTCTAATCTGTTTTGCCTCTGTCTGGTGAGCCGGACATGCGCCAATTACCTTCTTAAAGGCCAAATCAGAGCTAAATGAGGCGGACTGAGCTGCAGAGGTAACTGGGCCTAATAAAGCACTCGGTCTGCATCACTGCCTATGACACACCGCGCTCTCTACTCTCCAATGAACTGAAAAGACACACCATGCATCAACAGGGAATCAGCAGGAAACTATAAAGGAGGGTTTGGATTTTTTGCCATAAATTCATTGAGGTTCGCATCTGATTTGTTTGTTGTTTTCATTACATGAGTCATAGCGGGCAGCTTTAGCAGAATACAAATGGTCAGTGAACCGCTCCCCTGTGAGAGATATATCTTTACACGCTGCGTTGTTTTCAGGTGGACAGATGGGGAAGTCGATATAGAATTCTCAAATAAAATGATTTACAAATATAGACACGGCTGATGTATAAATGCCGGCTTCAGCTGAATGATGTTGGATATTTACCGGTATATATTAACCTGATATCAGCGTACGTTATTGGAAATAATGGAAAGGGAAAAGGCAGATTAAAATCCTTAATCAAATATCATCATGGGGTGGGATTCTACAAGTATCTTTACTTTTTTTTCCCACACCATTTGAAGCTCACAAATTGTAAATATAAATGCATTTGTAAATACATATTGAAATTGCTGTTGGAGTGGGAAGTACTGTAAGCACAGTAGGCGACATGAGTCATGTAAACTAACAAATGTAAATATTGTAAATACTACTGAATGTGTGGATTCCGCTGGAATGAAAAAAATCAATCAATCAAAAATGAAAGACAAAAATATACTGAGCTAATTTCCCCCCCAAATATTTCACATAACCCACCTGTCTTCCATCCATTATCCTGAATGGCCTGGAAATTGCACTCAACTTACTGTATATCAAAATGTAGATATTAGGGCTGTCATAATCATCACGTTGGCACTTCAATTAAATGTTTTCATTAATCCCGTAAAAAAAATGAACGCATTGGACGCATGTGTCGAATGACCCGCCCATGCATAATAACAGAATGCCGCGGACACATGCGTCTGTGAGATGGCGACAGAGCAGGTAGGTCCTCTGGGAATTCAAGTTTAAAAATAATACACGCGTGACTGCGGGGCACTTGCTGTTGGTCGCTGTATGAACTCAAACCGGAGTCCGCATCCTCCGTGGCCGCAGCGTTCTGACCTGGGGCAGCTGTGGCTTGCTCCGGACAGCAATTCCCACCTCCAGCGGCTGTGAGATGAGAGAGATTGTATACTGATTCTTTCTATGTTAGAGTTAGAGATTTTATTTTAGCATAGAGTTATTATGCATTTATCTTGTGCAGTGTGCTCCTCATTCCTACTGTTCTGTAACTTGTGA